GACTTGCAGAACTTGCAGTTGGCCGAGTTCTCATCGCAGTATTGCAGCAGCTCAGCGTCCTCGTAGAGGATGTCCGAGCAACCCCGGAAGATCACCGAGCCAGAGGCATCGAAAACGGTGCCACAATTTTGCTCGTCGTTTCCAGTGCACTTGCCCAAGGTGCCCGAACTGGCTCCCTGGCAGTCGGTGCCGTTGCAGGAATAGCAATTGACTGGCGGTGTTATCCACTTGCTCGGGTATCCAATGTACGAGTTGAGCAGATCCGCCACATTGCAATTGTCCTTGTCGGAGCACATGCGGCAGTGCTGTTTGTCCGAGTCGTCGCAGGTGAACTCCCGCTGGCAGCCACGATAGGTTTCGCCATTCACCAGCTTGGCACTGCAGCCTTCGTTTTCCAGGTAGTAGGGACACACCTCCGATGCATCGGGAGCAGACGAGCACGTGGGATCCGTGAGTGAATCGCAGCGCTGACAGCGACGACGATCCGCGGGATATATTTCCGAATTACAGCGATCGCCAGTGCAAACCACACAGTTGCCTGTTCCATCGAGGCACTCCTGCAGTTGGTCGCGTTCTAAGCTGCTCAAGCAACTGCGCTGGGTTCTGCCATCTAGGAGAGGATTACCCCATCAATTCAAGGTATAGTTCGAATTATACTGTATGATACTCACTTATGATGCGTGTCTGACAGCTGGTGTACGGCAAGACCCCGCAGTTTCCTATTAACGTGATTTTGGAAGGGTCCGTGGCGCAGTTGGGATCATAGGCCGAATCGCAGACGATACACTCGTGTGGCACTGGTAAGTTGTCGAAGAAGTTGCAATCGTTGCCATCGCAAAACAGCAGAAAGTGGAAGTTCTCGTCCACGAACTCCTCGTCCAAGTCGGACTGGCAGCCCATGCCAGTGATATCGGCATTGTAGTCGAACAGGATATAGCAACGATCTCCGGGACTGTACACGCTGCACTGACTGGCCACCGGGTCATCGCAGTTGGATCCGGAGCATTTGTAGCAGGACTGTGAGATTTCGGATATGTTCTCCACATTGCAGTTGGCTCCGGAACAGGCTATGCATGCGGCATCGGTGCCAGCGATGCAAGTCGCCTGATCCTCCGGATCCTTGTCATCCAAACAGCCGCGCACAGTGTCGTAAATGAAATTCCAGTTGGATCTGCGGCGTGAGGCAGTATAGCACTGGCCATTACACAGGCGGCGGGTCTTTACATTTGTGGCATTGGTGGCACAATCTTCGTTTTCGTAGTCGCAGTAGATGCACTCGGTGTAGCTGTCCAGGGATCTAGCATTGTTGCATCCGTTGGAGTTGCAATTGTGGCAGCTTCCGCCATTGGCATCACAGTAACTGGCCCAGGTTTGCTCCACCAACTGGCTGCAACCCTTAGCCGAAACAGATCCATCCGCACTGAACACGGTCACACAATAGTCCGAGTTACTGGAGCAAGTTGTATTCGCAAGATCGCTGGCGGCACAACTGGTGGCATCCGAGCAACTCTGGCAGCTGAGGGGCAAGCTCTGGCCCCACAGTCCTGGCTGGCCATCCTCCAACCTCTTCAGATTGCCGGTGTTGCAATCGGCTCCGGAGCAGACCTCACACCTTTTGGGGTTGCTGGACTCACACTTCACGGATGCACTGCATCCACGTTGAGTATTTCCCAAGACATCTATGGCAGTGATGCACTGCTGATTGGAGGTGTGCAGCAGACATAGGGCGGAGGCGGCGGGTAATCCCTCGCAGGAGGCATCCTGACTGGAATCGCAAATCTGACAGCTCAGACGCTCAGTGGGTTGAAGCTGCAATATATACATTAAATAGTTATAAAATGGTTTCAATATATCCCACTCAATTTGAAACCAAACCCACCAGCTCGTTGCACATCTCTCCTGTGCATCTGAGGCACTGCGCACTATTGCTGTCCTTGAGGCAGTCCAGGTAAGCCTCATCCTCCAAACTGGTCAGGCAACCCCGCTCCGTGTGTCCATCATCCATGATCCTTGAATAGCAATCGGTGTTCACAAGACTTCGGCACACCGTAACAGACTCCACATTCTCGGGAGCCACTGCGCAATCCTCATCCGTCCTGGAGCTGCACAGTTTGCATGCTTGTGGTTTTGCCAGAGCAGATTCGACATTGCAATTGTCACCAGTGCAGTACCACAACTGCTTGTTGGTTTCCATCAGGGTAACATCGCTCACGTTGTATTGACTCAGGCAGCCCATTTCGTAGATCGCACCCGATGCATCGATTTCGATGAAGCAGCTCTCTGGCTGGTCTCCAGATGGCACAGCTCGGCAGGTCTTTGACTGCGGATTGCTGCAGTCTCCTTTGCAGACATTGCAGCTTCCTCGGACACCCAGATCCACTTTATTACAGCCTGCCGTACTGCAGGCTACGCAGTTTTCGAGGGATCCTTCGGCACAGGCCTCTCGGTTGTCCAAGTCCAGATCATCCAGACAACTGCGAACCAATTCCAGGGGAGCACCCTCTTCAGTATTTGTTGGGTACAGCGCTGTGATACATTGCTGGTTGCACTTCCTTCTCTCAGTCACAAGTTCGATATCGAAGACACAATTATCATCGCTCTGGGCATCGCAAACAATGCAATCGAGCAAACTCTCCTTGGTTTTCAGGGAGTTACATCCGTGGGATCGGCATTCGTAGCAATTATCCCCGCCATCCGCGCAAATCGATGCCAAGTTGTCGCTGCATCCTCTCTCAATCACAGCACCATCGTTGTTGAAAATGGCCACACAACTTTGGCCATCGTTATCCAGACATTTTCGCAGGGTTCCAGATCCTGCCGAGCACTCGTCGAGTGTGGAACACTCATAGCAATTGATGGGACCCGAATGCCAGTTGTGCAGAGCATCTGCAAATAATAGATGCGATTTAAATATAGAACTTAAGTTCTTACTATGTCTCTTATAACATGATCAATAACCCAGTCATTCTGAGTGCGAATAAACCCAATACACGTGATCCTTATGTCCTTATGCAAGTAATCTAAATCCAAGCTGGAAAATACGTTCATAAACGTATAATTAATGGCACTATATGGCTTGTTACGTATTAAAGAGTTTATGGGCCGCGCGATAATCGAATTTCTTGTTATTTATGACTTTTGATGTCTGAAGGCTGCCGCTACCACATCGTCGCGATCTTTTTTCCCTAATCAGCTTATAAATTAATAAATTAATAATTGCTTTCAGATCCATAAATCGGCCAATTCACACCGATTGCCGAATACAATCTATCAAGAAGCGTGTTCTTGTAATATAAAAGAGAAAGTTGACACACGCAGGAGGGCTATCAATTAGTGGTTTTCAATTTCTCTATTAGTATTAGGATAAGCTGGACATGAGTAACATATATTATAAATATATTGTAATCATTCTATATTTGTAGTATCCACCAACAAACTGTTTCATACCACCGACTTGGCGTCAATTTAACACTAGTCCAAAAGCAACTTCTAATCTTTTGCTTGAATTAATCCCCATAAATCAATGAATGGATTTCCAAGGCACTCGAAAATTTCGATTACGGATGCAGGTATTTCGCAAGGTTATAAGCACACGAATATGAGTACTATGAGGAAGGAATACTTTGAACCAACCAAAACCAACATGGGTTACACGTGTATGTCACATCATGAAGTGCACTTTTTATTGATAGTAGATAAATTTTTAATATACTCGTACACCCATAAAAGCATGGGTATGAGTCATGAATGGCGGCGCGAGTGACGGAAGTACACTTGTTTTATTCATTGTCCGATGGCGACTAACACGAGCAGATACTTTTGGTTGATTAGATAGGTTATTATTAGTCTTTTTTATTTATTTCTTTATTGTTCAATCCCAATTCCCAAAGAATGTTTAACTTGGTTCCTAGTAAGTAGTGAGTATTTATTATGTAAGTAAATGTAGTTTAAGGGTAGGAAACAATATTAATTCATTTGCGTTTTTTCTTTAAATTTCTTTTAAAGAAATTCATTACGTAAAATAATATTGCATAGCTGTTTTTGTATTATGTATAATCCTTTTTTGAGTTAGTTTTCGGTTATTTCTTGCAGTTTTCACACTCTTCACTATCAAGATCACTTTCGCTTTACAATAATCTTAATCCTTGATTTACACTTGAACCTACCACTTGAGTGATTTAGCACAAGAAGTAGCAGAGCTACTCCTGCCGCCGTTGATTTCATGATCGTTTGAGGGCCACTTCGCGTATTTCCGTATTAGCCACAAAAATGGATTCCGGCAACTAATTTTTAGCTAGCTGATGTGAGGCCTTTTATAGATTTTCCAATGGCGACAAGCCGAGCAATCGATCGATCGATGGGTCCTATCGTGGCTGTTTGATTATTGCTCTATATTAGGGTCCCAAAGCGATTATATTGTAGGTGCTGTTGCCATTGCTATGCGGCCGATAAAGCTTCGTTATTTATAACCGATTGAGGGGAATTAACATAAAACGCAACAAAAACTATACAGATAAGCCGGTCATTATCAGGCGAAATGGAGTCGTGAACACTTTTACACCACTCGATAAGGTTGTTCGTCGGACAGCCGAAATATATGTTGACTGATTAGAGGACTTCTGCCATTAAAAGCCGCCAAATGGGGGCCATTGTTAGCCTCCCTGAAATATTTGTTCATATGCAGCTAGTTTTGCGAAGACTCGAATCAGTTCAAAGCACTTAAATAACTATCTGCGAAGGAAAATGGCTTAAAGCTTCAAAAGTCGATAGCTATTTCGATTATTAGTCGATTGTCATGGCGCTCCTTTTCGCAATTGTAAATCACATAGTTTTTGGAAAACCCCAGATAAAGACTTTGGCTTTTCCTAAGAACTTAATCTTATAATGTTATTGCTTACTATTATTGCGCCCAATTGGACTTTAGACAATTTATTTTATAATGTCATGAAGTCGACTATAAGTGAGGAGCAAATAAATGTTTACAATGAAAGACTTGTAGCTTATGAGTCATGACATGAGTGAAAAATTATTTAATTGATTGCAGATTTGGTAATCGGAATAACCCAATTAGTTATCTCGCTAAAGTTTTCATACTTCAACACGAAAAAAGGATTTTAGCCAGCTAATAATAGAAACTTAATAGGTTACTTTGGATTTATAATTCATGTTATTTAAAGATTACCAAATCAACTTTATAGAATGCTTATACAAGTAGCTTGTATTTGGACTATTGGTATTTCGCCAGATAATCGGGCTTATCAAATTTCAGTCAATGACATAAGAAACCCAGCATAAAGCCAACAAGATTACGCTTGATCGCAAAGAATAATTTATGGTCACATCATAAAAACTATTTTAATAATGTCGCATATAGATTGGAGAAGTCCGTGGGAATTTTGGCGAAGCGCTGCCTCATTGCCTATTTAAGTGGGTTGTAAAAACAAACTGCCAATTGAGCAAAGATCACGAATACGGAAGCGTGCAAACCGAATGCCGAATTGGGTTTGTCGGTTGTGGTTGGAACCTCTTCGGTTGTCGAAGGTTCTGTGGTGGATTGTGTAGTTTCTGGTGGATTTGTTGAAGAACTTGTTGAAGAACTTGTTGTTGAACTTGTTGTTGAACTTGTTGTTGAACTTGTTGTTGAACTTGTTGTTGAGCTTGTTGTTGAACTTGTTGATGTACTGCTTGAGGAACTTGAAGATGATTCAGTTGTGATTGTGGAACTAGGCGTGGACTCCGTTGAAGAACTTGTAGATTCCGTCGGATCTTGAGTGGTTGGTGAGTCATCTGCCTCTACAATTTGATCATTGCAATGGGGTTGTTCCAACGGATCGCACAAGTGGCAATTCGGATCGGCCAGACATTTGACCTGATCTGAAAGGGTCAGGGAGCATCCCCTATTTAATACGTCTCCAACCAAACTGGCAAAGCAAAAACTTCTACCAGATCTTGCAATAGGACATTGTACCGCCTTTAGAAGTTCGGGAGTTTCAGCACACTGTGCATCCTGAAAGAAGGAAGTTATTTAACAAATGTAAAACTTTTGCTTCTTTTGATAGTTACCTCCGTATTGTTGCATTGAAGGCAGCTAGCCCTTTTGGATGCAACATTGTTGCACCTTTCGGTTACGCATATCTCGCAATCGATGTCATGTCCTTTATCTTTATCCTGGCATTTTTCTCGCCAATCATCTTCGAGACTTTCCAGACATCCTTGGGCCCGAATTTCGCCTGCCTTGAAAACACTCACGCAGGAATCCAATTTATCTGAGCATTGTTCCTCTGCATCATAGCTACTCCTTTGGCAGTTTATATCCCGACAATAAATACACTTTTCCGATGCCAAAACATAGCTGCTGGTCAAAAGAAGTGCGAGCAAGAGTTCTATAAAAATTAAGTTTGACATTGTGGAAGGAATATTTAGCATTGAAAAGCTGCCAGTGGCTAGCCTTCGCTTTATATAAATTCTGGTCTCTCAAGACGATGTTACTGATATTTTTTCCTAGATAGCAGACTGAAGTAATTAAGCTCGTTAAGTTGTTGTCCATCACTTCAAAAATTGCATAAGCAATTCAGTTGTTTTTGTGTGGTTCCTTCAAGTAGGTGAGTTCTTGTGGGGTAGTTTTAAAGTAGTTCCTTTGTCATAAGTAAATAAACAAGCTTACATCGTTAATGGAATTTTTTGCCATTAATGGGTTATCTCCCTAGATTAGACAACGAATTAGATCAAATATCTGTCAGATACTTTGGAGTCAGCCAATTGAAGGTTGTTGTTTTAGATTAGCACCAGTGTTATCAAATACATTTGTTGATTCAACAAAGACTTGTCATAGGTTCTTCATACATATATGAAGAGTTACCTTATGAATTTTTTTTTGGGATCATCTCTAAGAATTTGATTGTTACATATTTAATTTAAAAATTATGCCAATTTCGTATTAATTTTAGTATTTTGGTTTGCCAATTAACTAGAGATGACTGTAGTAGGGGCTCTAATTGGATATCTTAATGTACTATGATTCATAATACTATTCAATATACGTATAGCATCATACTGAATTTAAAAATATTTTTATTTGGCTATTATGAATAAAATAATTTATCATTCTGTTGGATGTTTAGTTGTATATATTTTATAATTTCATTTAATTTATTTCTTGACCCACATACAATATTACATTATAATTATTATTTCAGGAACCGGATGAAGCGATTTCCAGCACTTGAGCTCTCGGCGATGTTGGCTGCATTGCAGTTCCTGATGTCGCCAGGTGAGCACAACAGGCAGTTGGCATCGTTCAGACAGCTCTGCTGATCGGTTTCGGTGGTGGAGCATCCACGCACAATGGATCCTCCCGAGGATTTCACATAGCAATACGAGTTTGGAGCGGTGGGGGCACTACAACGGGCTGCTTCCAAATTGGCGGCATTCGAAGCGCAGTTGGAGTCCTTTTGGGGGAAATCAAATGTAAGAATTAAAATGGGGTTTTCTATTTGGAAACTCTTCACTTGCCTTGCTGGAATCGCACTGAATGCAGGCATACTTGGCGGAGCCCACATGGTTGCATTGCTTGGTGTTGCACTTGTGGCATGAGCGATCGTCGTTGCATTTGGAACGCAAGTCTTTGGGAATTTCCAGGGAGCAACCCTTGAACAAAACCTTGGCTGGAATATTTAACAATATTTTTGTTTTTTATTTAATAAGAAAATGTCATTTTTTCCCTCTCAACTCACCTTCATCAAAGATGGTCACACAATAGTCCAGGGAATCCACACATGTCTGCGATGCACTCAGTTTAACCCTTTGGCAATTAGCTCCCTCACAAGTGTGGCAACTGATTGCAGTGTTACCGGCCACATGACCCACCAGCACCACCAGCACCACCGCACTCAACACCTTCGCCATTGTTTGGGCCTTCATTTTTTTGCTTCGACTGTCAGGCAATTGGCCAGTGCGATCGGCTTTTATACCGCCGACCACTTCAAAAGACCCACTGAAGTGTCCTCGAGAGCGGTGGCTGTCAGTATGTGTGTTTGTTCGTGGAAATGGCCAAACACTTGAGAGCTTTCTATAAAGAGCAAACAGCAGAGGGCAGTTAAATATAGGCAACTATAGATAAATGAAATTACTCATCGACTTTTGGTTTAAGCTTACTGGGGATTCTCCTCCCACTCCAAATGACAGCAAACAAGTATGTAGTTATTTTCCAATGTAAGGAAAAGTCGTTGCGTAGTATAATGTACATTTACTATACCCGTTACTCGTAGAGTAAGAGAGTAAAAGTATGTAACAGGCAGAAGGAAGCGTTTCCGACGATATAAACAATATATATTCTTGATCAGTCCGACCCTTGATACGTCCGTCTGTCCGTATGAACTCCTCGATCTCAGGAACTACACAAGCTAGAATGTTATGATTAAGCATGCAGCTTCCAGAGACATAGGCGCAGCGCAACTTATCTTAATCGGATTTTGAAGTGGCACACCTCTAAATGTTTCTGGCGCAATTCTCTAAAAATCTGCATTCAAATTTACAAAATTATTTTTTTTTAAATTTTTTTCGAATTTTTCTGTGTATAATGTTGTAGAAGCTCAAAAAATTAAAAAATGTCCCAAGGCTGAAGTTCTATACTCCATAACTCAACTTATCTTAATCGGATTTTGAAGTGGCATACCTCTAAATTTTTCTGGCGCAATTCTCTACACATCTGCATTCAAATTTACAAAATTATTTTTTTTTTAATTTTTTTCGAGTTTTTCTGTGTATAATGTTGTAGAAGTTCAAAAAATTAAAAAATGTCCCAAGGCTGAAGTTCTATCCTCCATAACTCAACTTATCTTAATCGGATTTTGAAGTGGCATACCTCTTAATGTTTCTGGCGCAATTCTCTACACATCTGCATTCAAATTTACAAAATTATTTTTTTTTTAATTTTTTTCGAATTTTTCGGTGTATAATGTTGTAGAAGCTCAAAAAATTAAAAAATGTCCCAAGGCTGAAGTTGTATACTTCATAACTCAACTTATCTTAATCGGATTTTGAAGTGGCATACCTCTAAATGTTTCAGGCGCAATTCTCTACACATCTGCATTCAAATTTACAAAATTATTTTTTTTTTAATTTTTTTCGAATTTTTCTGTGTATAATGTTGTAGAAGCTCAAAAAATTAAAAAATGTCCCAAGGCTGAAGTTCTATACTCCATAACTCAACTTATCTTAATCGGATTTTGAAGTGGCATACCTCTAAATGTTTCTGGCGCAATTCTCTACACATCTGCATTCAAATTTACAAAATTATTTTTTTTTTAATTTTTTTCGAATTTTTCTGTGTATAATGTTGTAGAAGTTCAAAAAATTAAAAAATGTCCCAAGGCTGAAGTTCTATACTCCATAACTCAACTTATCTTAATCGGATTTTGAAGTGGCATACCTCTAAATGTTTCTGGCGCAATTCTCTACACATCTGCATTCAAATTTACAAAATTATTTTTTTTTAAATTTTTTTCGAATTTTTCTGTGTATAATGTTGTAGAAGTTCAAAAAATTAAAAAATGTCCCAAGGCTGAAGTTCTATACTCCATAACTCAACTTATCTTAATCGGATTTTGAAGTGGCATACCTCTAAATGTTTCTGGCGCAATTCTCTACACATCTGCATTCAAATTTACAAAATTATTTTTTTTTTAATTTTTTTCGAATTTTTCTGTGTATAATGTTGTAGAAGCTCAAAAAATTAAAAAATGTCCCAAGGCTGAAGTTCTATACTCCATAACTCAACTTATCTTAATCGGATTTTGAAGTGGCATACCTCTAAATTTTTCTGGCGCAATTCTCTACACATCTGCATTCAAATTTACAAAATTATTTTTTTTTTAATTTTTTTCGAATTTTTCTGTGTATAATGTTGTAGAAGCTCAAAAAATTAAAAAATGTCCCAAGGCTGAAGTTCTATACTCCATAACTCAACTTATCTTAATCGGATTTTGAAGTGGCATACCTCTAAATTTTTCTGGCGCAATTCTCTACACATCTGCATTCAAATTTACAAAATTATTTTTTTTTAAATTTTTTTCGAATTTTTCTGTTTATAATGTTGTAGAAGTTCAAAAAATTAAAAAATGTCCCAAGGCTGAAGTTCTATACTCCATAACTCAACTTATCTTAATCGGACTTTGAAGTGGCATACCTCTAAATGTTTCTGGCGCAATTCTCTACACATCTGCATTCAAATTTACAAAATTATTTTTTTTTTAATTTTTTTCGAATTTTTCTGTGTATAATGTTGTAGAAGTTCAAAAAATTAAAAAATGTCCCAAGGCTGAAGTTCTATACTCCATAACTCAACTTATCTTAATCGGATTTTGAAGTGGCATACCTCTAAATGTTTCTGGCGCAATTCTCTACACATCTGCATTCAAATTTACAAAATTATTTTTTTTTGAAATTTTTTTCGAATTTTTCGGTGTATAATGTTGTAGAAGTTCAAAAAATTAAAAAATGTCCCAAGGCTGAAGTTCTATACTCCATAACTCAACTTATCTAAATCGGATTTTGAAGTGGCATACCTCTAAATTTTTCTGGCGCAATTCTCTACACATCTGCATTCAAATTTACAAAATTATTTTTTTTTTTCGAAATTTTCTGTTTATAATGTTGTAGAAGTTAAAAAAATTAAAAAATGTCCCAAGGCTGAAGTTCTATACTCCATAACTCAACTTATCTTAATCGGACTTTGAAGTGGCATACCTCTAAATGTTTCTGGCGCAATTCTCTACACATCTGCATTCAAATTTACAAAATTATTTTTTTTTAAATTTTTTTCGAATTTTTCTGTGTATAATGTTGTAGAAGTTCAAAAAATTAAAAAATGTCCCAAGGCTGAAGTTCTATACTCCATAACTCAACTTATCTTAATCGGATTTTGAAGTGGCATACCTCTAAATGTTTCTGGCGCAATTCTCTACACATCTGCATTCAAATTTACAAAATTATTTTTTTTTGAAATTTTTTTCGAATTTTTCGGTGTATAATGTTGTAGAAGCTCAAAAAATTAAAAAATGTCCCAAGGCTGAAGTTGTATACTTCATAACTCAACTTATCTTAATCGGATTTTGAAGTGGCATACCTCTAAATGTTTCAGGCGCAATTCTCTACACATCTGCATTCAAATTTACAAAATTATTTTTTTTTTAATTTTTTTCGAATTTTTCTGTGTATAATGTTGTAGAAGCTCAAAAAATTAAAAAATGTCCCAAGGCTGAAGTTCTATACTCCATAACTCAACTTATCTTAATCGGATTTTGAAGTGGCATACCTCTAAATGTTTCTGGCGCATTTCTCTACACATCTGCATTCAAATTTACAAAATTATTTTTTTTTTAATTTTTTTCGAATTTTTCTGTGTATAATGTTGTAGAAGCTCAAAAAATTAAAAAATGTCTCAAGGCTGAAGTTCTATACTCCATAACTCAACTTATCTTAATCGGATTTTAAAGTGGCATACCTCTAAATGTTCCTGGCGCCATTCTCTAAAAATCTGCATTCAAATTTAAAAATTTATTTTTACAACATTTTTTTGTAATTTTTTGATGTGATGATGTAGAAATTCCAAAAAATTAGTATAGCATGTAATATTTTTCAGGGGTTGTATAAATTTAGGAGCCATTGTATTTTGCAGGCCTTTTGAAGTGACCTCTAAAAAAGCTGTCGGCCAAAGAATTTCGCCGTGATTGAACAGTGGTTTTATTTCAGGGATTACCAGCTAGTTAATTGAGGGAAAAAATAAACAATCCAACAAGCCGATAAGATAGAAAACTAGTTTATTGTAAACAAGTGATTATTCGCTTTATTCATATATTTATTTAAAATTTAATTCAGCAATTTAAGCGAGAGCAAGGCAAAGAAAGCCAAGCCGAAGCTCATGAGTTTTCTACTTTGCTCAGCTGCCGACTTCAATCCCAATTCCAAGTCGAAATTGTTGCAGGCCACTGAATCACTGGAGTTCTCCGGCAGGCACAGCGAGCATTCCGAATCCTCCAGACACGCCTTTTGCTCCTTGACAGAAAGAGCACATCCTCTCTGTAGGCTGTCCTTCTGATCGCCAACGACCTTGACATAGCAGTAGGAATTTGCGGAGGTGGGGAGACCACATTGGGTGGCGGCAAGGGAGGCAGTGGCTCCCGTGTTACAGGCAGCTGACTGGGGAAAAAAATTGAAGAAATATATGGAAAAGAATTGCAACTTTGAAATTGGCTTACATCAGAACCAATGCATTGAATGCATTTGAAATCCCTGCGTCCCACATTATTGCACAGTTGTCCACTGCACTTTTGACATTGATCGTCCTTGGCCGCACATTTTGCCTGAGCGGCCAAAGAGATCTGAGAAAAGCATCCGCGCTCGCTAACAGCAACTAAAATAAAATGTTGTTGTGTATAAAAATGCACTATCCGTCGAACTTCAGACTTACAATCCTCATAAATGGTAACGCAAACGTCCAATTTATCGGAACAGCTAACGGTGGCGTTTTGACGAGTGGTTCTCAAGCAATTTATTCCTTCACAGCTGTAACATTTGGGCGGTTCAGCTGAATTCCGCTCCTCCCTAGAAATTTCTCCTGAAATTTCCTGAGCAGCTAGGAAAATAGCCAGTAATATAATGAATTTGCCCGATTGCAGCATTTTTTGAGGAGCTTCCAACGACTTTGTGCGACCAAATAGAACTGAACTTATTTGGAAAAATCGAAAAATCCACAATTGTTCTGCGACACTTGAGAAAATTCACATTAATCAGTCAACAGACTGATAAAGATGTTACAATGCAGTACTTGTTGTGCTAAGCAATTTCAAGATGTTTTCCCATAGATTAGTTCCTATATCAGCAGGTATACGATTTGTTTGCTTGGCCATTCAAAAATCTTATCTGGCTGATGTCGGACAAAATGTAAAGTAAAGGGTTAATATTATATTGCGTTGACTCACGCGGGGGTTTATATTCTTTTAATTAGCAATAATATATTAGCATTAACTCTGATTTGTATTTGAATTATTTGGCTTGCTTTCTTATTGAAAACTGTTGTGACTTCTTAAAAGGTCTTCGAATGGCCCATCGCCGGTCAATTTTTGTATTTATGAGCCCTCCGGTTATCTAGAACTTATCAGTTCGGATCGGTGTGAGTTATGACAATCAATTTTTATGACACACAGGCTTATAATCTAAGTTTGCAAAGATACGACCGACATTTCTGCTTTTAATTGCATGGTATCATTTGACTTTGACTTCCTCAGCGCAATATTTATTTATGGCTTAATTCTAGTAGTTATAATGTACCTAAATCTATCAATTAAACATTATAATACTGAGTCCTCAAATAGTCGAGTTCTTCAATGCAACTTTAATGCTGAGGTCAAACTTTGTTGGCCAGGCGAATTCAAGCACAACTGTACTTATTTGCATACACTTACAACAGATTTTCCCTTACAACCAACACGAGGGGATTACGTTACATAATCCAAAAAACAGAGAGGGCGAGAAAGCCCCAAAATGGGAAATGAAACGAAAATAATACAAACATAACAAAGAAATATGCAAAGCAGATGAATTGGGGATAAAAATGCGTGAGGGAAAATAAAAATGTTGCAAAGCGAGAAAACTGAAAGCGTTAAGGAAAAATTGGGGCTTATAGGGGCGAGTAAAAAGTTTTTAGCCTTGGTAATAGGGAAACCCGAACGATGCAAAACAAAACGAGAATAGGTCAATATTTCCCGAAGTAAGGGAATCCTCAGAAAAGTAAATGAAAAAGGAGAATATTACACTTTGTAGGCAAATAGTATCTTATAGCTAATGGTTTTTGAAGCAAGTAGTTCTGTTTAAGGATAATATGGTAAGCGTTGTACTGTAAGTATTGAAGTAAGTACTAAGTATAGTGCTTTCTACCCTCTGGGAACGGCTTGTTTTTCCGGAATAGTGGGAAATAGTCCCTTGGGTCCATCATCCACGACTTCGTCCTCCCGCTCTAAGCACTTGATCCGCTCCACCCGCGCCATGCTGAGATATTCCTTGCCCCCACTGACCACGAAATGGAACTCGTCGAGTCCCGCACAGGCGGCGGCATAGATGCCCCTTCGGTTGACCACCACCACGGCTCCATTGAATTCCGTATTGTGTCTCAGCAGGCGCTGCACCACCCACTCGGCAGCCTGGTCGGGCTTTTTTCCCGCTCGCATTGCCTCGACGGCCAGGAAGGCGGGCAGGTGCCGCATCAGGATGTCACCATCGCCACTGGCCACGGCACCACCCACTTTGTTATCCGCATAAATGCCGGCACCAGGCACCGCTGAATCACCAACTCTGCCGGGTATCCGAAATGGGGCGCCACTCGATTGGCTGGCCACATGGAGCTTACCCTCCGCATCCAGGGCCAAGAAGGCCAGCTGATCGTGTTGACCCTGTGTGATGGCATATTCCTGGTGCAACGGATGTTGATGCAGGTGCTCGGGCAGGGGTGTGTATGGACCACAGTTTTCCGTGTGCGAGGGACGTACATCTCGCCAGAAATTCGGTTGACAGCCGTTTGAACGCCACTTTTTCCACACATTTTTCGTTCGCCCATCCGTGAGGAACTCCTCCTTGTAGCCCAAAGATCTGGCAAATTTCGTTGCACTTTTTCCGACCAGAAGGGAATGTTTTGTGTGTCTCAGAACGGCATCGGCAACTAGAATGGCATTTCGAGCTCCTTCCATTCCAGCCACTGCACCATACTCCAAGCGTTCTCCATCCATAATGGCAGCCTCCAGGGTGAGTGTGCCCTCCGAGTCTGGAGAAGATCCTCCGGCCAGCAGGCGCCCACATCGCTGATTCTGACAGGCCATGCATCCCTGTATCACCGCCATACGAGTCCTTTGAGGTCCTTGCTGCAACACACTCCATGCCTGCAAATTGGCATCCGTATAGTTCCACGTACTTATCAACAGTGGTTGAATCTCTGTCTTCTTGGTGCCGAACCATTTGATCCTTCTCTCCCGCAATTTTCGGTTCCTGAAGTATTTGTGCGATTTTTCCCAAACGCTGCAGGTTGATTTGCACAAAAGGAGGAGGATCAGCAGTCGAAGGCAACAGCTTTGCGCCAACATACTCCAAGCAGAACCTATTCATGACTGAAAGCTTCGACACATGTTATTCTAAAGGCCTGACTAAGTGACAACCAGTACCATCGATATTTACACAAAAACAGACCTTTATTTCCACAGATTAGGCCTTAATGTACCACACAAAAAATAACTATTTGCAAGATGCAATGCCCCTGTTGAGGGATTGCTCAAAATAGTAGCTTTGGTCTAGTCCCAACCTTGATTTTATCATACCAATTTATGTAACCACAAATTACAAATCATAACAGAAGACATTTACGGAAAACAGGTCGTAAAATCTGTGAATTAACAAAGCCAGGATTTTACACCCCACCGTAGGCATTGCAGAGCAGCAAAGCTCAGATACATTTGATTTATTTACTACAAACAATTTGCAAGTATTATCCTATTCATGCATTGTCAACAAGCAAAATATCTGCCCGACAAACTCATAAGATACGATATTTGTTATGCATCGAACTTTGTCTATATAAATTTATGGGTGTTTGTTTGCTTTCTCGATGGTGTAAGTGCGTTTGTGTGCATGTGTGTGCGTAAATATCTGATGAACACAGAACTTTTGTATCTACCATAAAGGGGGAAACAACTGCCAATTGGTTGGCGCTGTACAAATTCCCTTCCGCCGAATGGATAAATCTGGAAAAATATTTCAGCACCAGAACAAAGGGAAAGATTTAAAATAACTTGTATACATATTTTTTTTATTCAATTAAATTGATATCAATTTATTTTTACTAGCTAAAGACGATGTGTAGGAGTGCTGTACATAGACCTTTTTCTAAAATGGAAAGGTACTAATTGATTGGGACTTAACTCATATGTTTGCCCTTGTTTGAGAAGCACTGTCAGAGATTCGGCATTTACTTTTGTATCTATAATTTATTGCAGATTGAAAGTGGTCGAAAACATCGCTCCCGTTGGCCCCAAAAATGCCCACTTATCTAAAATGCTGTTTTTCTCACAATTGACTTCAATCATATCGGCCATATGCATTGACTGCTGATTGATTGATGAAGCCTAGCAAATGGTTGGTTGTTGGAGCAAAATTGCATAAATCCTTGGCGCCGGGCTTTTCGATTTCCTTTTGGCCCACGTTATTCTGACCTGCGGTCTGCCCTCGCTCCCCGTCTCACTCACGCCCTCCCACCCTCTCACTCGCACATTCGCGTAATTGCGTTTATTGTGCGTTTGAGATTTGTAATTTGCTGGCGATGCATCTGTATTTGTGCTTGTGTCTGCCACGTCATGTGTGCGTGTGTGTGAGCCAGTTTGGGTTTGGTTTGGGCCGTGTTGATTGAAAATGGCTTAAGTAATCGACAGTTGATTGGTTGATTTGATTGCTGGTGTTGTAGTTCGGTTGTCACCTAATATTGTTTGTGGTTCGCACTGGGCTCTGGCATTCGCTTACCAATAATCGGGTCAGGAAGTTTGGCTTAGATTGCAGATGGCTTATATATAATTAGGGGTAGCGAGTTAGAACATAGTTTAGAAAACACACATTTTAGGGCTCAAAGCCCATTTCAAAAATTAAAGAAATTACGTGGCTGTAGCTCTTGCTTAAAAATAATGAAAAAGATAACCACATTTATTCAACATCTCCCTTTGTTTGGTCTACCTTTGATTTGGTTGCAGTGGCCGCAAACTACTTTCAGAAATTAGCAGATTGACAGCGCCACATCCTTTCACTTCCTCTGCTTCCTCCACTTAACCCTCCAGCCCGAGTTTTCTATGTCAGGTACAGACTTTCCGTCTGAACCCTGACCCAGATTAACCGCCCGGCCCCTCGAGGCCCCCAAATCCCCCAAAGCCGCCAAAGAACCACCGTCTGCAGAGGCTCTTGAGCGGCTAAATAAGCTTGCTGGCGGCTACAAACACTTTTGCGCCTGGACGCAGCCAAAAGCACCACTTTGAGTCGAGCGGTTTGGCGGTGGGCGTGGCAGGGGTTAAGTTTGCTGTGTGTAGCAAAACGTAAATAACTAGCCAAAGCAGAGGGCAAACAAACAGAACTGCCAGCAGGAGCAAAGGCTGAAGTCGAAGGAAAATGCAAAGGCAGCTGCAGCGAGGAGCAAACCGAGCCAAAGAAACGTAAAATGCCGCAAAAGGAAAATCCACTTTACCGCTAAAAAGTTCTTCACATTATTGCTGCTGCTGCCACCGATGCTTGTTACCTGTTACCTCTTTCCATTTGCCATTTACGATTTACCATTTACCTGTTACCTTTGCTCTTGCCAAAACGCCACCATTATTTCGACCTGAAAATGGCTACAAGTGGCGCTCAACTCTTCGCCTTCTGTGGCTTCCACATGCACTCTAATATTTAACATAAACAAATACAAACGAACTACCTTAGTGGTTGTCTCTGCGGATACAATAAAGTCGGAAAACTGGAGGGTATCAAATGAACACTATTCAATATATATTCAATAAAGAGAATGAATAGCTAATAAATATTTGGTGCTCAAAAATATCATACACAAATATCATATAAAAATGTAATACAAATATATATTTAATCGTATTTATTTAATCGTAACATTACTTTTCCCAACATAAGCCATTAAAACTTTATGGAAA